AAAAAAGAATCACACAAAAGATAAATCAAAAATGGAAAAAAAATAAAAATAAGAATGATGGACCAATGTTGCACACAAAACAAATACGTACAAATTTATGATTACAGTAACCTTATATTAACTGTTAATTTGTACAATTTTGTTTGCATGTTTTTTTTATTTTTTTATGCTTTTTTTTATCGTGGAACCGGGATATGCTTCCGGAGGCTACATACTCTACGTCTATAAACGTCTATTATAATAGCCTATAAAATATTATAAAAATATAAGCATTTTGCATTCATCGTATATTTTAATTTGTAAAATATGATTAACGAACTCATTGAAAATTTGGGTAAAGAATTTTCAGATTTGCTTGAAGGTTCTGAAGATTTTGATATGAAAATTATAGTTGGTGAAGAACCAAATATTAAAGAATTTAGAACTCATTCTAGTATCCTGTCAGAAAAATCAGAATACTTTAAAGCCGCATTGTCATCACGATGGGCAAAGAGAGAAAATGGAATCATCATTTTTAACAAACCTAATATTTCACCATCAGTATTTGAAATTCTTATAGAGTAAGTTTATATTTTTAAATAATCTAAATTTGTCTATAAATTAAAGTCTATAGTATGGTTGGATTTGGATGATATTCGGATATTTTTTGATCATCTGTCAGTATTTTTATCAATCAGAATATTCAGTCTTTTCTCTAGTTTGGCCGTATTTGCATTTCCAGTAAATAAGACTTGTATGTATTATTTTGATCAAGTGAAACATAAAAAAGTCAAAGTATGAATAAGAGAGCAGTATTAAAAAAAAAAGCTTGAAAATACGGTTTATGAGCTATAGCTATTTGCATAAATTCCAGACTAGCTGAAAAAGGTTGATTATAACCGCTTGATAAGTTTTAAAATCAGTTTCTGTCTCGGTAATTTATTGGTTTTTTTTTTTTTGCTATTCCAGGATTTATGATAATGGCTATAATAAAAAGAAATTTTGGAAGTTATTTTACATTATCCGTAAAATCTTATTCAATGTTGCCATTTTATCTATTTTGTTTCTTTTTAATATACCATGTAGATATTATCCGAATATTTGAAAGTCCAAATCCATTTTAAAGATTAATAATAGGATATCTGGATCTGTACAGATATACAAATAAGAATATATGGAATTAACTAAAATATTATTTAACCTTTATAAAATATAGCTATATTCATACAGGAGCATTTTTTAATAGAAATGAAATTAGCCTTCTCGATGTTTATATCGCAGCTGATGAAATTCTATTAGATGAAATTAAACTAAAAATTGAAAAATACATGCTAGAAAATGCATGGGCTTGGATATTTCCAAAAGACTTTATTAGAATATGCGAATATAATATTTTCACTAATTTATATCAAATTTCATTAAAACATGTATGCAAAAATCCAAAAATTATCTTTGAATCGGCAGATTTCTTAAAAATTGATGAAGATAATTTAATCAACCTTTTGAAACGTGACGATCTTTTGTTAGAAGAAATTGATATTTGGGAATATTTAATTAAATGGGGAATTAATAATTCGGATTCTATTTTAAATTACAATTTAACTAAGTGGACGAAGGCAGATTTCATAGAACTTAAAAAAGCTCTGCATAATTGCATTCCTCACATTAGATTTTTCCATTTATCAATTAATGAACTTCGCTTAGTTATATCTAAATATAAAAATATCTTACCAGATAATCTTCTTAATGAAATTTACAACCATTTATCAGATCCTAAACCTAAATATTATAATTTACAAAGAAGAGAAGCAGTATACTATTTTAATTCTACAATTATCAAAGATAAAGATGCAGCATTAATAGCAAGTTGGATTGATGAAAAAAAAGGATTGCCTTATCGTTTTAAAGATATACCTTTCAAAATTAAACTTATTTATCGAGCAAGCAGTAATGATTTCAGAATTGATAAGTTTCATAAGATTTGTGGTGGAAAGGGGCAAACCCTTGTCATAATTAAGGTCCGAAATTCAAATGAAATAATTGGTGGATATAATCCAATAGGTTGGTACGAAGAAGATATAATAAAAAACCAGAAAGATATAGATTTATTTGATGATACATACGATGAATACGATGGATATAAGTTCAAGGAAACATCAAAAAGTTTTATATTTTCATTATCTAATGGAACAATTCCCGAATTAAGCCGTGTCTTTTCTAAAAAAAATGCAATCGCTATGTGTATGAACAAAGGTCCATGTTTTGGTTTCAGAGACTTGTGGATAGAATATAGTTCACGAAGATCTGTTGTTGGTATAAGTAATCAACATTCTTATGAGATAAAAATTATTGATAAAAACTTTTTTGAAATTGAAGAATATGAAGTATTTCAAATTAGAAGATTATCTGTATTAACTGGATTTGCCATGTCAAAGTTCAAGAAAATATCTAAAAACATTATAAATAATGAAGATAATAAAGTACTAGAAGTACGTGGATTAGGGATGGGCTCATGCATAGGCTGCGGCAGGATAAAAAGCTGTGCAGGCTGTGGAGAATTAGAACGCTGTGGCACATTAAAACACTGTGCAATTTGCGGCGCAATAAAACGTTGCAAAACTTGTGCCTGCATAGTTTGCAAATATAAATTTAAACAAAATGCAGGATTAGGAAAAGGTAGATGTGCTAACTGCGACAAATTAAGAATCAGCAAGGCCTTTAACTGTACAACCTGTGGAGCATTAAAACATTGCATCTGCGCTTGTATAGTTTGCAAGTAGGACTGTAAGATCGAGAAAAATTTGAATAAATCTTTGAGGTTATTCGAATGCAAAAATAATGTAAGATTAGGAGTCGGTTAGTTACAGTTATGACAGGCCATTGACCGGTTATAACCGTAACCGATACTGGTCAGCAGATTTTTGACAGCAGTTCAAAACTAACAAAATATGTATGATAATTTTAATTAAAATAAATTTCGATTTAGATTTGAGCAACTGGTATGGTATTTTTGAATCTTTACTCTTTTTATATTACGGGTATCTATTACAAATTTAATTACTTTCAGGAATGAATAGAATAGAATATAATCACTTGAACAATCATTTGATTGTTGTCCGGTTGCGCAATTATACAATGATTTTTTTAGTGAGCATAGATATGGTGCTGGAAGCTTATACCCGACAATCACGTGAATATTTCAATTTTCGCGTGACTGAAATGGACTAATAAAATTTCGAACTTCTTTGTAAATATTGCGCCAAAAACATAGCATTCTTAAAATGCCAAAACTTTTTAAGCACAAATTTTTTTTAGATAACTTTATACATAGAAATGAACGCTACAAAGTTATCGGTTAATTTTTTTAAAAAGCTTCTTCTATTTCGAACAGCTATAACTTTCTATAAAAGAATTTTTTTAAAAAAATTAACCGATAACCTTGTAGAGCTCATTTTTATGTATAAATTTATCGGTCAGTTTTTTTGAAAAAATTTGTCTTTAAAAAGTTTTAGCATTTTAAAAAATGCTATGTTTTTGGCGCAGTATTTGCAAAGATGTTCGAAATACATCAATTTTATTAGTCAATTCCAGTCACGCGAAAAAATTGAAGCATTTCACGTGATTGTCGGATATCACCATATGACTGACTAATTTTATAAAATAATATATTATTGCGATTTGTAAAATTGTATAACTCCTATGATCAATTTTTTTATGATTAAATGATTGTCAATTTGTCAAGAATCAGAGGTTTGTATCAAGCTTAGATTCAAGATAAATTAGCTGGCTTTAGAATAACGATCGCAATCACAATTATTTAATCATAAAAATAAATAAATAAATAATCATGAAGTCACAAAATCCTGCAACCGCAATAACGTTATTGCGCTTTGCAAAAAGATTTGATCTCTGAGATCACAATGTCACGTGAAAATCGGAGATTCTGTAGATTCTAAGAAACTTACCGATTTCAAATAAATATAAATATAACTGATAGAAAATAGACAATCTAGAATCTCGGAAATATTCCTCTTTCATCATTACAAAAATCATGGGGTCACATCTTTTTGCAAAGCGCTATAAAATTGAATCTTTGGCCCAAAAAAATGCACTTTACAATCACGCAATCGGACAACAATCAGGTGATTGTATGGAGTTGGTTCCAGGACGTGTACTCTTTTATATTATGGCAGTTTGCAAAAAGGTATGACCCTGAGATTTCGTGATGATGATAGTTGGAAAATTTCCGAGATTTTAATTCCCTATTGATCACCTTTAAAATTCTCTAAGAATCAAAAATCTACTAGAATCGGCCGATTCCTCATGATTTTACATGACATTATTATCTACAGAGGGCACGCCTTTTTGCAAACCGCTATAAATCAAAATGTGTAAGAGTGAGGTGTCTATTTTTAATTAAGGAATGAATCCATCTTCATAATGAAGTAGCATAGCCATAATGATTTTCTTTCCTTGAGTATTCACATCATTAGCTCGTCCGTATAGAATTAAGTCGGAATGCATCAAATTCATGGCTGATCGACCAGAATTGATTAATTTCCCAAAAATTTTGCTAATGAAGTCATAGTCATTCATTAAGAAAATGCCTAGCCTAACGGGTTGGCCTATGTTATGTCCATTGCCATTTTTCCAGAGCACATTATACAACCCTGTACACAGCTGATAATTTTGTTATATGCTTTGTTCAGTGTTGCAAATAGAACAATAGAATAAAGTTTGACTTTTTGTCTTTATATAAAAAAAAATTTATTAATAATTTGCAATTATTTAAATACATATTGTTAGACTATTAGTAAAATAATAAATTTAAAATATTTTTATATTTAATTAGTAATAGAATTAGAAGCAAATAGAACAAACATAGTAAACGTGACAACCCTAGTTATGTTGGTAAGTATTACCTTAGCTCTGATGTGTTCTACTCGATATTTGGAGATGTCCAGTAAAAACACTATACTAGAAATATTATCAATTCCAAAAGTCGAGCTTTGTGAAGGTCAGACCAAAGCCTCACATTACATGTGAGTTTTCATAATAAGTATCTGTAAATCAATGATTATGCATGCACCATTGACAATCAATATCTGATATAACATGCGGTCATTAGGAATCGGTCCCTTAGGATCTTTCGAGTTTAAAATAGATTCAAAAAAGTCAGAGCCTTTAACATCTTTACCCCTACTATACCTATACATGGCGTCTAAATTATTTTTAAAAAAAGCAATTTCGACAAAAATTTCGACATTGCTTTTTTTTTTATATGAACTAGCTGTAAGACCCGATTTACTTATTTTTGCGAGTAACACAAATCAAAAAAGGAAATCGAATTTTGTAAATAAACTAAGTGCGTAAAAATAGAAGTTTAGGATTAGGACGTTAGGGTTGTGAGCTTTAGCAATAATTTAGAGTTTCTTATATGTAAAATTTCATTCCCGTTATTTTTTATTAATTCACCAAGGTCGATTTAAACACTAGTTTTTGAGTATTTTCGCTTTCTTTTCTTTTTTTCTT